CTGCTGGGCGGGCAGGGGGGTGGGGGGGAGCCGGGGGGCCGGGGCAGCAGGGAGGGGTTTATGGAACAGGTCACTTCTCGGCCACTGCTCTTGGGCCGGGGTTACAGCGTGCTCCCCGTAGTCTGAGCCCTGGGGTCGGTCAGAGCAACCTCCGGGCTGCTCCCCGCATAAGCCCTGGGCAGGGCAGAGAAAAGTCACCACAGAACATGCCATCCATGCCCCAATCCACCCCTTACCTCGGGGGCAGGGTCCAGGGCCCTTCCCCGGTCAGTCCAGAGCTGGCGTGTGCCCCTCCAAGGGGGTATCGTCTGGGGGCAAAGCCCCCCGAGAGCAGGACCGAGTGGCCGGAGCGTGGCTGAGAGGAACCAGAGCCGGACTCCAGCTCCTGACAGGAATGGATTTACCCCAGCTGAGGATCAGGCCCCAATAAATTAGACCGGGGTTTTTTAATCCTGTCCCCCCTCCCGCCCTCAGAGGCCGTGTCCCCCCACGAGCACGTCCATCAGGTAGTCCAGGTCGCTCATGTCCAGCCGGCCCTCGGCACCGGCCAGCGCCTTGCTGTCCAAGCCCTCGGCGCCCGGGAAGGCCTTGAAGCCGGAGAGGCTGGTGGGCGACCACAGGTCGCAGTCGTACATGGAGGTGTCGATGTCCTCGAAGATGTCCTCCAGGCCGTCCTCCGTCAGGTAGCTGGCGGAGCTGAGTAGGTCCAAGGGGCCGTGGCCCGGGGCCGGCTCCGGCTTGGTGCCGCACTCCCCGGCCAGCAGCTGCTCCTCCTCGGGCCGCGCCGGGCTCAGGCTCTCCAGCTGTCCCAAGTCCTCCAGGAGGGTGGAGATGGAGGAGCAGAGCGAGGCGTCCATGGTGGAGAGAAGGAGGTCGCCCCCCTGGCCCGGGGAGGGCGGCTGTTGGCCGGACTCTGGCCCGCTGTCCCTGACCTCCGAGACAGGCGCAGGGCCGCTGGCCCCCCCGCCTGCAGCTGCATGTGGCCCTGCATCCGGCGCAAGGTGTTGGCCACCAGCACCAGGTGCCGCAGGTCGGGCTCCACGTGCCGCAGGCTCTGGTGCAGCTTCAGCATGGAGATGTCGAGCAAGGCGCTGGCCGGGGCGGCGCCGGGGTCGCGGGGCTCCGGGTCCTCGCCCTCCATCTCCCCATGGCTGCGCTTTACGCCTTTGGCCAGCATGGCGCTGCAAGAGATGGGGGAGCAGTGAGTCCGGGGCCTGGCTCCGGCAGGAAGTGTGGGGCTGGCCAGCTGGGCACTGGGACGCCCGGCCTCAAGTGGCCCCAAACTCAGCCCCGGCCGACCTTTTCCCCCTCCCTGGCGAGGCAGATGGAGCCCAAGCCCAGGCAGCTGCCCTAACCACTGAGCCTGCCTGTCCCCCGGCTGATGCCCCAGCACGGCTGGGCCTCGGGGCAGGGGTGACAGGTGACTGTTTCTGCCACATAACTCAGGCGCGGCTTGGGGGGCGGGGGAGGCTGGGAGCCAGGACTCGGGGATTCTAGCCCAGCGTGGCAACAGATGCTCTGTGTGCTCTAGGGCAGGAGACCCACCCCCTTCCTGTGCCTCGGTTTCCACCAGGACAGCCGTGCCCAGGGACTCCCCTGCACGCTGGCCACTGAGTGGCTGCCCATCCACAGGGGGCCCCCGCCTCGGACAGCCCCTCAGGGAAGCAAACCCCAGCTCCCGCCGGCAGAAGGGGGGCACACACCCGCCCCGGGCAGCTCTCCTCCCAGGCGGCGGGGGAGGAGACAGGATTTGGCTCAGCCTCCCCCAGCCAAGGCCTCTCGGCTGGTCCCACCCCCTGCCGGAGCTGCCAGAACCCTACCCGGAGGAGGGGGAAAGACAGCAGCTCGGCCGGGTGACGTATTCCGCGGGGGGATCATACTGAACTGCAGCGCCCAGCCCCCTACAGGGGGGTGCCTGCTCACTCCTGTGCGCCCCCACAATATGGGACACGGCCCACCAGCTGTTCGCTCTGAACCCCCCGGGCTTCCGCTGCTTCCCCTCCTCCTGCCACGTTCCTCCCAGGAGGCCCACACCCTCCAAACCACAGCCCCCCGTGGGACAGGGGATTTGCACGCCCAATGCTGCTGGAAGCTCTGGGGAGGCCCCCCAGCCGGGGGCCCCACCCCTGGGCCAGGGCGGAGCAGCTGGGGGATGGCCCGCTGGGGCCGGGGGCACCGTGCCCGGGGAGGCAGCAGGTCGGCTGTGCCAGGGGCATCGCCGCACACCCCCTCCCCGGTGCGTGTCACCGCGATGACACAACGTGACTCACGCCACGCTGTTGTGCAGACGATAGATGAATCACAACCCCTGCCTCTCAGAGACTGGCTACCCATCAAGCTGCCAGGCGGGACCCAGGGGCCAGCTCTACCGCGAGCGGGTCCCAGGACCGGTTCCACTCCCAGCTGCCCTGGAGCAAACAGCTCCCCGACCCATGCCTCAGTTTCCCCTCTGACCGCTGCTGACTTAGGGCGCTCTTTGGGGCAGGGGCTGGGAAGAGCCCCAGAGCACTTCTGCGGCCCTTGGGGCTGCCCTATAATTGTGGGGCTGCCGTATGACCCTTGTTGATTGTTCATATTAGGAACAAAGTCCCTTCTGCAAGGCCCCGCACCAAGGCCCCAAATAAGTAAGTACCCACCGAGAGGCCCGGCATGTACAGCGCCTAGTGCCACAGGGCCTTGACTTCCTTTGGGCTGTGACTGTGGTGGAGCCAGACCCACCGGGGTAGAGCTCAAAGAACTGTCCAGGGGAAACTGAGGCACAGAGCAGGAACCTCACGAGTCCGAAAGTCCCTTCTGCAAGGCCCCGCACCAAGGCCCCAAATAAGTAAGTACCCACCGAGAGGCCCGGCATGTACAGCGCCTAGTGCCACAGGGCCTTGACTTCCTTTGGGCTGTGACTGTGGTGGAGCCAGACCCACCGGGGTAGAGCTCAAAGAACTGTCCAGGGGAAACTGAGGCACAGAGCAGGAACCTCACGAGTCCGCAGCCACAAAAAAGAACCCAAGGCCCAGTGCGGATCCTATCCACTGGGCCGGCCAGAGGGCTGGATCTCAACCCACCTGCGCTGGCCAAACTCCTGAGGGGCGGGGACCAGAGGCTACGGAGAAGGAAAACAAGAGGCAATGGAGTCGTGAGAACATCCCCCACAAGCCACTGCGGGGTTACTCGGCACCGTGGGGGGGCGGGGACAGGACAGACCCATGCAAAGGGCTGGTGGTCCCACCCCCCGGGGTTTCCTCCTGGCCCCCCCGGTTTGGTTTTTAAGTGGGGTGTCTTTCAGAGGGACGCTATTTTGCACCTGGCAGGCAGAATGGGGAGCTGGTGGGGTACTGGTGGATGCAAAGAGGGACCCCCCCAAAGTCCCCCCATTCATCTGGGCATTGCACAGTGTTTCTCACCTGCCCCATTGCCTGCCATGCACTGGGGTACCCACCTACCTGTAGCCCTGAGAGCTCCCCCATTACCCGCCCCCCTTAACTGCTCCCTACCGCCCCCCACCTGCCCCTTGCTGGGTGGTCCGCAGTGCTCCAGGGATTGCACTGGGGGCGCCCCGCTGCTCCGGGGGGCGACTCGCCGTTACCCGCCTCTGCG